CTATCTATCTATCTATCTATCTATCTATCTATCTATCTATCTATCTATCTATCTATCTATCTATCTATCTATCTATCTATCTATCTATCTATCTATCTATCTATCTATCTATCTATCTATCTATCTATCTATCTATCTATCTATCGATAAAGTTTTAAAAACGTGAAAAAGTTGGCCCAACCTTTTCAAGTTTCAATCCATGGCCATTCTTGCTGTTCATAGCAACAGACGACAGGGAAAAGTTTCATTGCCTAAATGTAGTCTCAAACAAAAAACTGGGCCAATTTAAGGTGGCAATTTCAGACAAGGAGCAAAACATTTTTCGTTGGCGAACAGGCAACGAATGCCAGCGACGAATTTAAGCTGAACCGTTTCTTTTGATTTTGTTTTATGTCGTGTTTTTTCCGCGCCTGAGTTTAAGCCAAATACTAACTTTACGGCAGAAAAGATGATCGATTACTGACCAAAGAATTCACTACGTATAGTCGCATTTCCTCGTATGAGCGCCCTCCCCATCCTCTTGACCAAAATAGGTTTCTTTTTCATGAATAGTAGGTTACCAAAAACGACCATTCTCGATTTTCAGTTTATTAATTATCTTTTACACATCCTCAATACACTGATACAGGTGAACGATTCCTTTTCCGTTAAGTCACAAATCCAAGTTTTGCGGTCGTTAATTTTTGTTTTACCCATGAAGGAGCCTCCAACCAACCAACCTATGCCACTGATATTAATACTATAAAGGAAATAAAGGGAGATGTAAAGAATCAACCATAAGAGGACACAGAAAAAAATCTGAGCCCCAGATGGGATTCGAACCTACGACCCTCCGTGTTCTAGATCGGATGCTTTAACGTCTGAGCTACTGAGGACTCGTTGGCGAGCAAGGGTCATTTTTGTGGGTTGGACTTGCGAACCGCATCTCGCAGTCACACAGTCCATCACAAGCAACACATTAAGGCTTAAGGTGGCTCGACTGGATTTTCTGGGGTTGATACCTCCCAACTTTGAGCATTAATTACATCGGCATGAGTAAAGATATGGAAAAAAGGCTACCACAACTGTATTATATAAAGATGAAAATTTCTTATGATCTGGGTTTTATTGCAATCGGAGTCGCCATGGCAACGTAATGATGCCATTACGTTTTTCATTTATCTTTGTGTTTCTCTGTTCCAGGAGTTTTTTGAAGAAATCGCTTAAGGGAGTATGTACCTGCTATAATTGCCTCCATTATGGCTTAGTTTGAACAAATTCTATGAGAGCGTTTTCGAAATATTTTGAAATGTAGTTTTAAGAATAATAAAAACAGTGAAATAGCATGCTAGCCACACAATTCGCTAATATTTTAAGAAAATAATAAGCTTTGGCAACGAGGCTTCATCTCATATTGATTTGATTCCATTGAAAACTGCATACGAAAAAAGAGGGGAATTGCTCTGGGCGATCGCGAGTAAGAAGAATTTTATTAACTTGCATTCAGCTGCTTTCGATACAGTTTTTGGACGTAATTTGGTCCATGCCCAAAAATTTCGCATTTTTCCAAAAACCGCTCGATAAATTTTTTTATAAATTCGACAATCCCGAGACCAATCGTCAAGAAATATTCCCTGCAAGTTTCAAGAACATTGAAAATAGGGAAGGTTTTTAAATAGGGCCTCAAATATAACCAATTTCCCCCCCAGATTTTGTGTTTACAAGTGAGCGTCCTCATTATTCACTGGCATTGTTTTCGGGGGATGAGTGTGGGCTCATTTTCCCGAACAGCGGCTGGTAATCGAGCCTAAGTTTTCTCTACCGTAAACATATTCGGAAACAAATCTTGAGGTCATAACTGTAAATAGCGTTGAAGTGTACCTTTAACCTGCACTAGCCTTTTTTTAACTGTTATCCAACTGTGTAACTTTTGTTGGTAATTAATGTTTAAGAATAACCTTAAGATTCATCCAATAGTCGATCCGATCAGAGATGATTATTGTATTCTGTAATATTGCTCGCTAGAACATGATGTAATCTGTAACGCTTCGCCAGCTGAGGCTTAAAAACGAAAGCTTTGTAAGATTTTCTTTGGTTACATCTTAGTACAATTAAACAACGTTGAAGTCAAGTTCTGTGTGAAGTACTATCTCAAGATATTTGCGTGCCGTGGTTAGATCCCGTGCCTTTCCGCAGCCACAGAGACTTTCCAGGAAAAGGCCGTCCAAAGAGTTGTCATGAAAGTTTTGCCCACGTCAGTCAGTCCGTCCGTTCTTTCTTTTTATGTGAAGGCAAAAAAACCTGTTTTCACAATATTTGTTATGTAAATAAAATTACTTGCTTTTTTTTTCTTGCGTGCCGGTAGGATTGGTATTCTCCAGTCGTATCCTCGGTCATCAGTGAGGTTTTGAAAAAATATAGCAATGGTCTACGGGTTTTTTTTAAGTACTCTGGCGGTTTTCCCTGCAAGCCGCACTACAGTGGTCGCGGCTATCAACCCTAATTATTTGGGACTTAGGCTATGTTTACACTATACCAGAGACCTTTGCGCCGCCAGGAAAATCATACCGGATAGGGCCTCGTTCCGTTCACATTTAAGAATGATCAAGAACGATTGTGGTGGCGCGATTTCTATGACGGCTGGAGCGAAGACCATGATCTCAAAAGTGGAGCGTCACATATCGGACAGGTTTTTTGCCATACGTACTGTCCACTGGAACGATCTGACACTGAGGTGTTAATAAGTTATGGGCTCTGGTAATGTATTGAAGAGGGAAGACTGGAAAGGAGAATCACGAATCAGATCCATATAGAGACAAGACGCTATTGTTGGTTTTCACATGACGTCATGTGAAAACCAACAATAGCGTTCCAATGAGGGTGAGAAATGTTTCTCACAAGACGCTTTGATCCCTTCAATGGACAGTTCCTCCTCATCGTACTGCACGAACTCGCGGGGCCCTAATCTCGTACCCAGATCTCCCACTTTTACGTGTAAAACAGAGTGAGATCTGGGTACGAGATTAGCGGGGCCCTACCCTAGTATACTTTTGGGCTTTGCCGGATACTTCTGAGCTCAGTCACTGCACTACCAATTCTTGTCTTTCAAAAATATTCCCTTTTTCCTTTTTCTTCCCACCGCCATCTCCAGTTTTAGGCCTCTTTGCTTTCATCTCGTTCTTAAACGTGCCCCAAGATTTCTTTCTCCTGTCCGCCATGTTGACTTATCACAAGGTCGAGACCGCAAGGCATTTTGGTCTATGGCAGTTTTAGGCCACCGTCAAAAATTTTTCAATTTGTTTTAATTTCATTTGCTTTCAGTTGACTTCGCTTTGAGATTAATTTCATTTAACACAGAAGGTTTTGATTTCCTTTCATTTTCATTTTCATTTTAACTTGTTTTGAAAACGAAATGAAATGAAATAAACATAAAAAATAGAATAATATGAATAAAATAAACAAAATGAAATAACTAAAACCATTCATATAAAAGAAAAAAGCTGAAAATATAACAAGATCCCTATGGCAGCTCTAGGCCACCATACCAAATGGAAAGGTTCATTCCGAAGGAAATTTTCGGAAAAAAGGTAATACCTTTGCCTTTACCGAAACGACCAAAATTTTCTGTACCTTTTTTGTGGATTACAAGTGCAAGGTTTCCTCACGAATTTACCCGTATTTTGTAAATGATACAACTCAAACCTACTACTGTGTTCCTTGCGAAAATTCCGTACAAATGGTAAGCGCTCCTAGTTTCCAGGTAATCTTCCTCAAGACGATCCAGGCGATTATATGGAAACCAATTTACATACAGACTTTAGTTCTATCCAGGCCATTGCTATAACACAATTGTCCAGATCGCCTCGCGGATGTTTCTATATGATCATGTCGATCACTTGAGCACATTTTGAGACTGTGCGGGTCGATCCGGACGATAATATGGAAATCAGGCTTCAGTTTACTGTTGTTTGGTACAACTTTTATCACAGAAAAGTTCAAACGCTTGTAGCGAATACAAGAGACCAACTGTTAAACAATAAAAATGGAAGCGATGGAAATTGTTCGCAGTGCGCATGTTTTTGACTTAAAATTATTAAAGGAATTTTATTTGGTGTTTCGGATTTTAGGGAAATAACATAAAAAAACAATTGACTTATTTTACTAGGTGTTAACTCCTACGCATGAGCACTGATCAAATGACATCCTCTCTCGAAATGAGAAAATGATTTCTGTTGATTCACTCTCCTTGGTCTTGTGGAAGGAAAATGTTGATTGAAGAGTTACGTTAGCCACTTGTGGTAATTGCTACGATGTATGGTTGTAGTGGAGTTGTTGTAAGCGTTCTTGTTGATTGGTTTCAGTAAGCTACTTCACTACTTGTAGGTTTGGTTTTCTAAGTTAATTGATGATCGATAGAAAGTTTCTCCTGACATGAATTCGGTACAAAGGAGATGTACCAAATTGGTGCATCTCCGCGGTAACACTTCTGTTCATGAGATATGTCTAATTAGTATATACACATTCAGTGATCTTGGTAATTCAAGCAATCTGATTGGTTAGCTATCTCGGACTATGACGTTATATTCACCGCGCCAGGCGGTGAATATACAGCCGAACAAAATCGCTGTCGAGAACTGGGTGTTTTGCCAAAGTTTCAAAGTAAAACCTTTACGAATATCCAAGTGCTGATGACTTTGAAGGCAAGAAAAGAATTCAAGGTGTTTAAACAGCGTGATTTATTGTGAAGTGGTTTACTTTAGCTGACTTTTTGTACGCTCGAAGCTATGTTTACCACTTCAGAGGAAAACGAGGTCGCTTTGTCACTGTTTTGTGATTTCGGGATTTTCTCGCAAGACCAATTTTGCCTATAAATAGAAGTTAATTTATGGAGAAGAGAGGAAGGCAAATATTTTCGAAAATTGTACGTGCCAGCAAGTTAACAAGGCAAAGAACTTTGGAGATAAACAACGCTCACCTTGATCGCAGCCGCTGTTGACAGCATTTGCAAGAAGCGACGAAGAAAACTTTCTCATTCACGGTGAGTTGACAGAAACAAATAAAGCTCTAGATACTTTTCTTCTCAGAATTGGGTAGTAATTTAAATTTTCGGCGTTTTCTTTTAAACCGTTGATGCTAAAGCTTACAAAACTCGATACAAAAGGATTAAAACTATCATTTGCCATGTTTGAAGATACTGTAAAGATCTAACTTTTGCGCATCCACTGTTTACGGCTTCGTGTTCACGCATGAATTTTCACCCGTCAATCAAACTAATCGTTTTTTAATGGTTTCCTTTCTGATTCTGTTGAGATCACTTCGTGTGAATATACTAAAACAATTATTCACCTCAGGCTCAGTTAATATTGTTGAATAATCCCCTCGACTTCGTCTCGGGGATTATTCAACAATATTAACTTCGCCTTCGGCGAATAATTGTTAATTAGAACCTTTGGCAGATGACAAGCCTTGTTTATATTAAGTATTTTGTCTAGTTTGACATTTTTGACCTTAATCTGATCTTCCTTCGATATTTACCAGGAACTGACTACCCTGCTTGTTTTTAAGAGTTTTAAGCGTGTTCCTCGAGTTTTTAACCGAATTCTTGGCAGTGGATAACTTTAATTAGGCTTAGAGATTTTATAGGTGTTTTTGTAGCTAAACAACTATTGTTCTAAATTCTGCTTTGTACTTTGAACTGCATATTTAATTTACCCTTTAAGTTTGCGATCACGTTCGTGGTTAATTTATGGAAAAGTTGTGACCAATAATCATCTTCGATGAAGGAGCTTAACACCTGTAAATTGACAACAGCCCTAGATTTTCAAACTGTAATTTTAGTACTTTCCTATCTGTTAATATGAAAAGTCTGTTTACTGGCATATACCTTGTAGTTTTTTAATTGTTCTCCTAGTTTTATATTGGCCAGTTGACTTAAGCTTAGCAGTGAAAACAGGGACACCCAAGGACAATTTTTGGAAAATATCTGTTCGGAAGACGATTTGAGATCTAGAATTTTCGGAACAATTTTTGTTAAATTTCTTGCTTTAATTGCAGCCTCTCCTAGGATTTTCGAATCTCCCAAACATGGTAGAATTGCCCATTTTTAACGGATTTTTAGCGTAAAAAGGTCACCTAGAATTTTCGGAAGCCTTTTTTCTGGCTGAAATTTTCGAAAAGGTAGTTTTGATCCCTATAATTTTCGGATCACTAGACCTTCAGCTAGGAGATCCGAACAGATGAAAAATTTTTAGGGGATAAAAATAAGCCTATATCTACCGTTTAAATACTAAAATACGTTCAACAATGCTATGTGTAAGTGGTTTTTAACTATACTCTCGTTGGGTGCCCCTGTGAAAACTTAGGTTGAAGAGTCATTTCGACAAAGCAATTATCTCGAAGGTTTCATGCTAATGAAACTGTTTTAACCAATCGGATTAGACTTACGTCAGCATTCGGTTTGTGCTAAGCAGCTGGTTTCCTGGCTGATATAAAAATGCGTGTAACACTGATTTAGCAGAGAATTGTAAAATACGAGTTGCGCTAACTTCGTGTCGCCTGAGTGAAGAATAAAAAGTAGTCAATTGAACAAGTACTCGTCTGTTTGTTGTGAGAACCAGTTAGTTCCCCCAGAAAGGTTCCTCAACACAATAGAGCTGCTTGCTACTGTTTGACTTTAAAGGGAGATTGCATTTTTTTGTCGTCCACCGAAGAAAAGAAGAAATGTACAAAAAAGTGTGATGCACGTGCAAAGTTGTTGTTTTGCCTGGCGAAGCTATTGCTTATGTGAATTTCTCGTCGCCGCCGCATCTTAAACTTGTGATCCATCAAAAACAGAATATTCTCGGGGCAAATTGAATTGCTCCTGCTGATAGCACCCCAAACGTTTTTTCGACTCATCGGTAGTTCCTTCGTTTCTGGTTAGGAAAGTAGAAAATAAAAGTTTCACGCACAAGCCTGGTGAACGAACCGGACAGTAGCCGTCGTGTACGAACTCACGAAAAGAACTCAGAAGAAACTCTTCGCCGATTGGGCACAATACAGGACAACTCGGATTAATATTAATCGGATTAATATTAATCCTAATGATTATTATAATCCAGTAATAGATTATTATAATCCAGTAATAGATTATTATAATCCATTACTGAGGTTTGAGCCGTTCCTTGATCAATTAGGATTACTATTAATCTTATGTAGGATTAATATTAATCAGATTAATATTAATCCTAATATTAGATCCAGTAATAGATTATTATAATCCATAACTGAGCTTTGAGATTAGGATTAATATTAATCTGATAAATATAATCCCACATAGCTCAAATTTGTACAAGTCTCTCAATAAAAGAAAATATTCTATTCTAACCACGACGAATTTGCTACTTGTGCTAGTAGTTTGTGAACAAAACTCTTAATTACATTCAGTCAATAACCGCACTCCTTATTATACGTTATTATATTTTAGTAGCAGAAGTCGGCAGTTGTCTCAGCTCTGCTGGTAATACAGTTGCAACTGAATTTTTTGCAGGGCCATGAAGATTTTTAACGTAGAATAGAATAAAGATCTTAAGTAATAAAAAAAATAACAAAGTGAAAGGGATGTCAGTGCGCACATCATCAAAGGAAATCCTTGAATCTTTTCCAGTTATTTCTAAAAGACTCAGTCTTTCTGAGTTTGATCCATAGAGATAGTTATTTCCCAGGGAGCATTTCATGATTTAGACCGTCTGCGTATATGCTGGACTTAAAGTAGGAGTTTGTGTTAGAGGACTGGGTTTCAGGATTGGTGTCATAGAAGGAGCCATTGTTATTGATGGGTTAGCTGGTGGCATCCAAATTCAGCAATTCAGAAATTCATGTTCATAGTCGCCATCGTGATATGCCAGCTCCAAACCTCGAAACAGTTAGTGTCTTTGGGATTGTCGCGATTCCTACGCAGCTGGTAGTTATTCCCTTTCTTAAGGTCCCCTTTCTTGTAAAAACACATGCCCACCGCACGGATTCGCTGGCCCAGAGGCGCTTGTTCCTTTTCATTTACTTCTAGGCTCAACATCGCTACCAGCTCTAACATATGCAAGTGATCATGTGACTGATGTGATCAGTGTTATGTCCCGTCAGTCCCTTGTTCAGCGTGTAATGTCTGCAGTTTGTCTGTCATAGCTCTGATCTGGATTATAATAGAGATTAATATTAATCCGGATGATTATTATTAATAATA